AACCACTTAACACCAGGTTGGCTGTAAGCTCCTCCACACATACAAGCAATTACATAAATAAAAAGTTGCAATTCTTTTGTTTTAGACTTAAAGCTGGACAAAACGTTTCGTATTTATTATATTACAATTGATTTCTTGCCACTCATAATCAAATTCACATAGCAACATTAAATTCACACGAACGTATTACGTTCGCTAACACTGTAACTAATTAATTTATTGAACTCAAAGTACGATAAGTCGGGCGATAAAATTAATGTAACCAGCCGAAAAGCAATAACAGTATTTCGTTGTTGAACCAACAGCAAAGCCACAAAGCTTATGTGATTTAACGTTTTCGCGTAAGCGTGTCGTGTCCGTCACGTGCCCGTGTAGGTTGCATGCGGAGGGCGTGTAGCCGCCGGAAAGCGGATTCATTGCCATATGACTGGTTGTATATCTGTAATTACGAGGCTCCCGGTACCGACTTTGTGGAAACTTTTCAATGATAACTCGCCGTGAATTGTTTATGTGATGCTAGTTTGATTTTATGTATTCGCCGACTGTGTACAACCATCCTTCACTCGGAACGTAGCAGTAGTGTTTTGTTTTGCATTTCTCTGTATATAGGTTTTACGTTGTGGAATACAATTAACACTTCGATTTTCATGGCTTTAGGTGCTAGTCGCGTTGTGCCTATGAGCCCCGGAAACCATTCTACATTAGGCCGATGAAGTTCACTTTTGTGCTAAAAATCACACATATATGCATATATCCCATGATACACAGTTCATTATACCCTTTACATATGAACACATTTTCCTCGCCCGGAACATATACCCACAGTCGGGAACATGCAATGTAATTAACCTGACATAATAGCCGGTTATTAAGCAATTCAGCCCCAACATGGCGGACGCTTTCTGTCATGAACTGCATTATGTATAACTGTGTATCTTTTTCCGCACATAAGTAATCGTGTAACTGTAAATATACTTGAGTTTTCCGATTTGCATGCGAACCGGAGAAGACGCTGGGAATTTTATTACGGCTGTGCAAAGACAGAGTTGTATTTTAATTTTTTAAATGCTTAGTCATAATTATATTTACATAATATCGTTTTGAATATGACGCCATAATATATCAAAATATTCATAAATACATTCCTCACATTCAACAGGATTAAAACAGCTCCATCTTGGTCGTGCCTATTATTATTAATATTCCTAAAAAAATATACGTATGATGAAATCCAATAATGTATTTTTAGTTCCCATATTTCAGGTTTAAAAAACTTGAATATCCCAGAATCTACATTCTGTCAATATTCACATTTAAATTGATAAATTCTAAAAGAAAAAAAAACCTTAAAACAACATTTCCAAAATACATACACAAACAATAAATAAATAAAACTACAGTCAGACACCGCTTTGTTTTGAATCTTTAAGTAGAACATAATTTAATCTTTCCAATGATCTTGCGATTCATGTGAAGAGCTTAGTTGAATCGTAAACATTTTTTGTGGCTTGTGATAGAATTTTATTTCGATAATTTGCTATTATAATTAAAATCAATTGAATATTAAGTCATTATCTGAACATAATGAATGTGTACTCGTAAAAATTACCAGACCGTTTTACGGTTTTGTAGTTCAATAAGCAACGAATAAGATTTAAAAAAAAACTGCGATAAGCTCATTAAAAACGTAATTGTAAAACTTTGTATTTATTTAATATTGATGTTCAATTATTTTTTTAGGTTCATGAATGTTCCAGGTATGATTTTGGCATATACACTCACCAAAATATTACCAGGAATTATGACAGACCTAGGGAATCATGTAAAGATTTTTATCAAATATATGTTATTCAAAATCTAACATTGAAATAAACTTACAAAAACACCGCTCTTAAAATGTAAGAGTGCGAGAGAAAGTTAAATATTCCTATACGTATTCTCTGTTCATTCGGCTATAAAATTTAACTTTTGAATTTAACGAATTTTCATGACGAGAATATTTTTTTGTACGCAACAATAATATTAATTAAATTATAATAAAATAATAAAACAGGCAGAATCTTTATTATAATCAGGCTTTTCATTCGCACAAATCATTTGCTTAATGGTATTTTATAGCAAATATTTTAAGATTCGTTACGTAACTCAGTGCGTGGGTATCTAAATATAAATGCGAAATCACATATCAAGTCATTAAGGTTCTGCGATGACCCAATTCGGATGCAGCTAAATCTCTTGGCATTTGTGTTAATGTTAATGCATTTTATATTGGTTCAATTGGGAGTACCGACGGCTCGGTATGCCGGTAATGTGGAGTGACGCGATGTGTGGGCGTTTCGCGGGAACGTATTAGGGACGCAGGGAATTGATAACTGCACACCACGAAGAGTCGTTTACAGGAAAATAGCTTTACAGTGACTACTAGAGAGAAAAAAAAATGTTTTGTCTATAAATTTCTTATGACAACAAACAGTTTACACAACTTCGTCCTTCGACTTCGTCCGCGTGGAATAGTTCACAAATAATGCATTATTTTAGAACAAATTTGGTTAGCATAAAAACGTTACAGTGAGCCAACCTTAACATATAGACATGTGCTGTCACAAACTTTTTTTAGATCTTTTAAAGGGGAACAATTCTGTCATACATTATTTTAGCGAAACTTTAACCGTTTTTACAGCGCACGCAGCGGAAGCTCTCAAAAGGAGAAAAAAAAACCCGATTTTGAAACATTCTGTATTGGTGCTCCGCTTGTATTGGTCTTAGCGTGATGTTATATAGCTTATAGCCTTCCTCAATAAATGGGATATCTAACCCTGAAAGAATTTTTCAAATCGGACCAGTTAGTCCTGAGATTAGCGCGTTCAAACAAACAAACTCTTTAGCTTTATAATGTTAGTATAGATATAGATAAACAATAACGCTAAGCTTAAAAAAATATGCACAGTAGGCTTGGCTGACTGTCACTACTCATAATCAAATGAGTCGGAATAAAATCATATATTAGCAGTACACTGTTGCACATAGGCCTCTCCAATTGTAAGCCACTGAGCACGATGCTCGACTTCTTTCATCCCAACCTTGCCAGTCACCCCGCATATGTCTTCACTCCACTGAGCCTGAGGGCGTTCTTACTTCACTTCTTCTTTTTTTTTTGTTGCCCTTGTAGGCAGACTAGCATACGGCCCACCTGATGGTGAGTGGTTACCGTCGCCCATGGACTTCAGCAATGCCAGGGGCAGAGCCAAGCCGCTGCCTACAAATAGCTTCTTTCAATACGTTTACCAGTTCGCGGTCTCCACTTAAAAACACGGACAATTATCAGTATGCCTTGTGCTTATTCAAAGTCTACCAATACATTCTGAAATGCCTTGATGCATGATGCCTTCAATGGTGATTTACCATACCCGATCCTGTAGACCGAATGGTAAACAGTCGACGTCGCCCAAAACTCGTCATTACGGATCCTCACGATCCATTAACGGTGCTTTTAGGTACCACAAGCACCAGTCACCGTCCTCGTCGAACCCGTCGCTAGATTCTGCGTTAGACCCGGTGGTAGATTCTGCGAAGCACTGCTCTTGCTAGGGTCAGTGTTGGCATCACTCCGGTTTGAGCCCCGTGAGCTCACCTACTAGTTAAGGTTGCACTGAAATAGCCTCTCAAGGCTATCAGCTTAGGTAGGGAAAAAAGGTGATTTTTAAACTGTTTCCATTAGCCTTTGCAACTTAATTCCGTCGTCATATGTTCGTAATTAACACGGTACTGCGATCTCCGAAAGCGAAGCTGAAGGGCAGGTCATGCGCATTGCTGGCACCGCCGAATGCAATCGTGCGTTTAGGGCCCACATGCCGGCGAGTTCCTTGGAAGGCGATGAATAACTCATTGTCCGTTCCATCGTCCGTCCGTCGTGACGCACGATTCTTGGAAACAACGTTGCAAAGCAGAAAGTGACCGAGATAGTTGACCCGGAGATTTTGATACACATTTTGTTGTCATTCAATTGGCTGTCAAAAACTATATCTATATCTATACTATTAATATATAAATCTACAGTGGTTTTTACGGATGTTCCGTTATAACTACTGAACGATGCATCCGATTGACTTAAAACTTGGTATCCATGTAGAAAATACATGTACTTAATGGATAGGCTAATATTTATATGAGTATTAGACTCCCTAATAATAATAATGACAATAAACAACAATGTTAGTTTTAAATGTCCAGCGAAACGGGCGAGTACGACTAGTCCTATATATTTTTGAAACTTCATTTAATAAATTCTCAAAATAACAATATCATTGTTATCAGAACTCCAGAATTAGCAGCATATCGTACGTTACATAATTATACACATTAATAGCTTATCAATCAAACGAACGTATTGAATGGACGGCTCAAAACGAACATAAATACCTGTGGCGAGTCTTAAAAGGAAAACATGAGCGAAACGTCTCGGGGACCTTAACCTCATAACGACGTCATCACCGATTCCCACAGTTCGCGGACTACATACGCCGACAGAGTGCATCGGTGCACTAATTAGGATGCACCGTGTGACATCGTGCGTCGGCATCGGACACCGAACAACTGAATATTCGCACACGGACTATTGTGATACCATTTTATGGTTTCGGCTTGCCTTTATACAGCCTAGTTAGTATTCTAAATTGATATCGCGGAGGTTTTTTTTCGTACCACTAAACGTCGTGTCGCAGCAATAAAACGGAATAAGGCCGTTAGCAAAAATTGTGTGATTCACAGACGACAAGGAACAATTACGATTTATTAAAACTCGTACGGAATATTGTGATGTCTCAATTAGGCACGACGTTTTGTTTCTACGTTCGTCGGTAATTGGTAGTTATTTTAAGACGTGATTTTAATAGAGAATTCGCTTTTTAACATTCGTATGCCACTGAAATAACAAGGCCGTAATTGCATAGACGATTTCTATGCAAATATTATTTAATAAAATTAATTTACGTTGTCTGCAGGTAAACCGACCTTTGACGATGAAGAAGGAAGGTATCCAGACAAGAAATAGGAAGTTAAGCAGTAAAAGTAAGAAGAAGAAGGGAGGAATGGGAATGGGCGGTGGGGGAGCTTGTGCTTTAGCGCTCGGCGGAGTCATGGGAGACATGATCAAGCCTCTCGGAGACGCTACCAAAGGATTCGGAGGCTCAGCCTTCCCGTCAGCTATGGATTTCGGTAAGTCTATTTTATATTTACTTTGTTTTACGTTTTATATAAAATGGATGAAGAACGCAAACAAAACCCTGCCTACATTTTTAGTCACATCTGTACAAACTGCTGTGATGAAGATATCACATAAGTGCAGATATGATTAATAATTTTATGGCAGCTTAGTAAGCAGACAGGGTCGGAACCTGGGAACACGGTCGACCGTCGTTTTACTGGTGGTAAGACTTCTAATGAGTCCGCGCGGGTAAGTACCACCACCACCCTGCCTATTTCTGCCGTGAAACAGTAAAAAAAAACCAACTGGAAGTCGAAGTCGGAATTGTTTAGTTTTTTTAAATAGTTTTGCTTCGCCTTAAAATATAACTCATGAATGCTACGCGGCAGATATAGGCGATGTAGCAATACCTATCCAGGCAGGCGTACATTATGAATTACCTTTTTTAATTGCCATTGAAGTTAGGCAAATATGCGATGCTTCTGACGGTAGATACTTAGAGTCGCCCATGAACAATAGTAACGTCAGTGGCTCAGCTGTGGCACTGTTTTCTTTGATGATATAACACGACACCATTATATTGAGAGTTGAAAGGCTGTTTGGGTTAAGCAAAATTTCACTTAATACGCGACATTTGTCTTTACAATTAAAGGTCCGGTTTATTTGGTATCAATATTAACAATTCGATGATTTTAATTGAACTTCAATTAAGTTTACCCCATTCAAACAGCTGAAGAAGTTTTTTTTTTGGTACGATATTTTTTCCAAATTTTAAACTGGAAATTGCTTCTCTGTGAATTTGCAAAAATTTCGCTTAACCCAAAAAGCCTTTCACCTCTCTATTAATAGAAAAATAATATATATATATATATATATATATATATATATATATATATAGAAAAAATAGATACACCGGCCGTCTTACATATTATCGTACCCTTCATAACATAAGTTTTCTTTGAGCAGGTCAGCACCAAGTGGGCTTAGTCCACCCGGCGGCCGCGCACATGTCCCACTGGTACGGAGCGCCCCATCAGGGTTTCGCCCCACCACCGACCTCCCACAACCCTTACCATCACCATCACCTTGCGCAGCTCAATTCTATGGTAAGTAGAAATTTCAATATAAAATATTTGTAACACCATAGTTAATGATATGATATGATTAAACTCTTTTTAAACATTAAAACATTAAACATTAATCTTTAAACATTAAAAATGCAATAAACATTTAATTTTCTATTAGAGAAACATGACAAACTGTTTTTTGTATTGTGGACTAACTATCATATCTCAACAGTACCGTACCAGAAACATTCCTTAAAGTACGGACAGCAAAAAAACAATTCAATAACTAAGCGTTTAAAACTCAACCGTCACAAGCTAGTCTCACGAGACCTGGTCCCGCGTGTACTGGTGACAAGAACATATATACCCAGACCTCGAATTCCAGACATCTTTTGAAAAAGTACTGACTCTTACCGAGAATCCAAACTGGATCCCGTTGAAAAGTAATCAGCACCGATCGTGTGACCAATAAACGATATTTAAGACTCCTGAATACCGTCGATCACCAATAAATAAAATAAATAAACAATCAAACTATAATAAGCAGTCGTTTCGTTCATCGTAAAAAATATATCCTGTGTTTTATGAATTCGTGAATTGGCTATGAGCGAAATTGATTAAAATTCGTGAATATTTGCGCGATTGATTAACGAACATACAAAATTTTACATTCATACTACGAGTATTATTTTAGATTAGCAGAAGATAGTGAGATTGTCAAATTAATGGCACTTTTCTTTTGTTAATCTTATTTCATGACATCGCAATATAATTGATGTTACGGGTCCTTCTCCTTCCGTCACGTACATACTTGTTGAACGTCAAAAAGAACTACCGCCAATTCACAAAAAACTAGCCTCCGTCCTGAGAAGAACTGGCAAGAAACTCAGCGAACATGTCTTTTTTCTTATTTTTTTTTTTAAATATTAATTTTTACAATGAGTATTATAACGTAACAATTATTGCAATATTGAAACGGCCGGAGCAAGCAACTCATTCCCACTTTGTGTAATGCTGAGGGTCGTGGCTTTTTCTAATAACTTTCTCTTGGATTATTCTGCGCCACCCCTACTTATACTCGGATGTGTGGATAGCAACGTGAACTGGAGTGTTAAGTTTACATGTTACATGTAAATATCTATTTAATACGCTTATGTTTGTTTTATTTGCAGACGGGTTGGAGGAGTGAATACACGTGATAAGTCAGCCAACTTGAGGACCTAGTAATCGGATAAGAATATTTGTATCTCTCGTGATAATTTACACGTCTTAGCCGTCCTAGTCACATGGGATGATCACATGATGGGATGAAAGCATGCCCCATGAAGAAATCCGAGGAAACCTTAGAAACAGACGCTGTGATTTCAAACGATTTACAGACTAATCTATAAAAGGATAAGATTTATTTTAAAACATCACATTTTAATGAGACTGCAAACTGAATTGACGTTTGTAAAATTTTACAAAAAATAATAAAATAATATGCAGAATTGTTTGAACATATCTGATTCTGAATACTTATGTCCCATTGTAAACCCCAAATGAGACTTTATTATTCCGCGTTCAGTTTCCTTCAAGTATTATTAATTAGTTCACATCTGTCGTATAAAATAGAACAATGACATCACAGTAGATAAGTAATGCTATTTACGGAATTGTTTTTAGAAAATATTGATCGATCAGTAGATTAGGAAGAAAGAGTCTTTATTAGTTTATCAAATTAGTGGAAAAGGAAAAAGAACATTTTAACATAAATCGTCAGACCCATTTTAACATATGTGTTGATTGAAATCGGAGATGGTATAACATAAATGGGAACAGTGAGAACGGGATAGCAATGAACAATGAATTTTATAATTTTTCTAGAACGTATACAGGTAAAATTAAAGTATCGATAACATGGCGAACATTTTTCAATTAGTTTTCACTTTATATGAGAGATGTGAACTAACATAATTTGAAAAGTTAAGAACGATTTTACATGAAGTAACTATACTAGCGAAATTGTACAGTATTATAATATTAGCTAAGGTCGGTCACGAAGTCGGCTTATACGATAAGGTAATAAGTATAGTTCAAAAACATTATTTGTGTATTTTGTAAATAAATTAAGTTACAAATTCTGTTCCTTTGTAAATTGCGTTTAATTATTATTTTTTATTAAATATTATTTAATTTTGTCGGATTGTATCGCTGTAAACGTTGCGATGTGTTCAGAGAATACGAGAAAAGATTGTCTTTTTTTGTAAATTTATTTCTGTAAATGTTATCGAACGAATGCAATAGTAATTTATGTAATAGATAATAAAACGTTGTATTTGTAAATATTTACAGTTTTGAATTGAGAATTAATTTTGAACGATTTCAAGAGAAGCCGGTGACTATAATTGTACACTTTATTTTGTATAATATTAATATGTTGATTTGAGAAAAGAATTGTATGAAACAAACATATGTATAACAACTATCTATGCCGTTGTAAAATTTTAAGATATCGAGTGGCCATACATTAAGAGGTGTCATTTTTATCAAAATATAATGAATTTTGTTTAATTTATTTTCCATTTGCAACTAAAAAAATATTATTGAAGAACTAATGAATAAATTCTTAAAAAAAATATTCGCTATATAAGTACTTCATTGTGATTTTGATAAACAAGGCATTTGAACCCCAAAAAATGTAAATATGAAAGTGTAAATTAAACAGTAGACGATAAATTAAAATGTTTATTAAAATAATTAAAAAGACGTGTACATTAGAAATCGCCACAAACAGCCTTTATTTACGATATCCCTTACCTAAAGTTTTTAGTTTATAAAACAAAACATTGTGAAGTTGTGTATTTTAAATGAAGTTGTGAATAAATTATCAATATTGATTTGAAATTTTCTTTTTGATGCCGATCCCCTCCTTCACTGAACAAATCCCTCCCTGGAACTTTTTGAGAGAATGAGTTGACCATCCAATTACGTCGTCTTGTCCCGCCGTCCTCCGTAAGTCACCGGATCAATTCCGCCATTCCGCAGAAAAAGTCGTCCAAAAGTCGCGCTTATCTCGCGCCAAATTGAAAATGCACTCGGCCGTGTGATTGTGACGCAACGGGCACGACTCCGACATATGGACCTATTCAATTTTAATCGCATTTCAGAAGAATGGACATCGGATAGAAGTGCCCATAAAACGATCCCCGGTCGCGACGATAGGCCTCACTTAATAAGTTGGTTTTATTTGCGGTTTATTCCGCTCGGATTTTAAGGGTGTCTATTGTTGGTGCGACGACAATGTTTGCGTTTGATCTTTTAAAGTTCCACGGAGATTTCGCGGGCTCTTACGCATGGGTGGTTTTTGATTGGATGCGATTGGTTCCAGGCGGTTGGCGGTTAGCAATTGTTGCGATCTATCGAGACTTGATTTAAAATTAAAATCAATAAGTTTACCGGTCCTGTCTGGATTAAGGAGAATTATAAGAATTTAATTTAGCTGGGTTTTTTTTACCTAAGCTGATAGCCTTGACAAGCTATTTCAGCGTAACCTTAACTAGTAGGTGAGCTCACGGGGCTCAAACCTGACGATGTTGCTAACACGAACCCTAGCAAGAGCCGTGCTTCGCAGAATCTACCACCGGGTCGGAAACGCGATCCACTGAGAAGATCCGGTGAGAAACTCAGTGGGCTAATTCGCTCGTCGAGCCCTTCGTCGTAAGCGACGGGTTCGACGAGGACGGTGACCGGTGCTTGTGGTACCTAATAGCACCATTAATGGACCGGGAGAATCCGTAATGACGTGTTTTGGGCGACGTCGACTGTTACCATTCTTTCTACAGGATCGGGTATGTAGTTTCCAGCGGCCACGACAAGAGGGTTCTCATGTCGTGCCGCCTTCTCAAAGTGAAGCTGGTTAAGAACGAACAACAATTACATATAGTTGAAATAATGATATTAAAGTAGTCGGTTAGAGGCTGTAATAGGAAAAATGTCAGAAATGAACATATGCAAGGAACTTTTAAAGTTAATATTAGCGAAAATCTTGATAGACTTTATGCTTGGTACGGTCATGTGATCTACCTAAACAATGCTTTGTTAGGCTAAGTGTACTGAGAATTTCGGAAAGGATTGTGGTAGGATAGCAATATCATGGATAGGAATGGAGAAGAATAGGTTACACGACGTGTCGTGAATACGAGTAACGTAACAGGACACTAGGAGGTAGAGCACTGTTATTGATAATCATCATCGCAGTACAACCGTTCATAATAGCCATTTAGGTAATACTGGAACTTGATCTACCTAAATTTGTGTGTTGCGAAATTGTGATAAACAAAAGAGAAATAGCCTCCAACGGTATTTTGTAGAGGGTTTTCGAGACGTGGCGGCATAAGTCACGCGGCCAAACGGTCCGTGATATATGCCCGGCTAGCGCGGGAAAAAATGTCGTATAACAAAAAGTACGCCATCAGTCTTGGCGATTTATTGCGCACGGCAACACCGCGGAATATTCGAGAACACTTGGCGAATGTTCTTACACCTACAGGCATGTGTTACCCCCTGAGGTGACGGAACTTCGCACCTCGCTAAATTACGACCGTTAACACGTATACGTTTCGTAAAGAATTTGCATACGTATGTGCTTGAAAAGAATGCGAAGTAAGATTATGGCGGTAATTTTTTTACTTGTAGGCATATTTAATTTAGCAAACGACGGCATGATTTTGGATTATAATATATTCAATAAAGTTCATATAAAAACCTATCCAGAATAATTCGAAATTTTGTTTTTACAAAATAATTTTTAGCTTTGTTTACATAGGGCAGAGCATTTTCCAACGCACCTAGAGATAGATTACTTACAGATAGCCTACCGAAACTACAATGTGATTTCGCTATCCACAGTTAGCAATGAGCTCGAAATGTAAATCTTGTAATATCCGATTGAATTACAAATTTCAGCCTTTTCATTTTTTTTATAATATACATTCAGAAATCAATTAGCATTAATTATTATTAATAGCAATATTTCCTGAAAACATTTCACACCATGAAAGCTCCTTTTTTGTTTTTTTTATTACATAGATGAATGGCAGAGCCCTGGTGTTAAGTGGTTACTGGAACGCATAGAAATCTACAAAGTTAATGCGCCACCCACCTTGAGATATGAGTTCTAAGGTCTTATATCTCAAGTCTAAGTAAGGGTCTAAGTATAGTTACAACGGCTGCCTCACCCTTCAAACCGAAACGCATTACTGCTTCACGGCAGAAATAGGCAAAGTGGTGGTACCTACCCGTGCGGACTCACAAGGGGGACCTCTTGTAAATGACAGTAGTAGTACCACCAGTAAATTACTTTACAAAAAAATACTTAATTTTCAATCCGTGTCTCACGCAAAAGAATCTGGAATGATTAAATTATGGGCGCGACAGTACAATGCGAGAAGAGAAAACCATAATTTTCAAACTGATAACAAATTCGAAATATGCTTTAATAATTTTCAAGCAAGTCATGTAAGAAATTCATCGAAATACCTTAAAAAAGTTATTTTTGAACGTCGTATTTTAATAATTCGAGAAAAGCAAACAGTCACAGAGACTTCGGAGGCCAAACTTCACAAATCCCTTAAGAGGGCAGTCATAGAGTGCAGTGAGTCGTGAGTAAAGGATCGTCCACACTCGAGTGGCCGCGACTTGCGTCTGATCCGGGAATCAATCTCGGACTTAGCTCGCCTTATCTAGCTGACCCCGGCACCCGACCAATGTCACGACACATTTCGTTTACTTTTGAATTTTTATAGCGCTTACCCAAGCTCCCCTGTGCTTGGGTTGTATTTAAATCGTATTTCTCTTTTTTGATAGTTTTTGATTCTAAAATTTAGAATTTAGAGCTTAGAAAATTCCAAATCCCTAACCAATAGCTTAGATAAGTTAATGAGAAACTCAAATCGCTTAAAGTAATAAATTTGCAGAATAATTGGATTTAGAAAAATTTTTGACAGGCACTGCCTTTTTATCGGAGTATTGCGTTTATCACATCAATGTGATTGGGATATATTGACAATATAGGCCATTGCAATTGTTGCATTTTGTCACATTTTGTGTTCAGAAAAATGGGAGGACATAGGTTGTTAAACACAGATTCACTATAATTTACCTCACACCCAGGAATGCTTCGCCAATTCTCACGACCTCATAATTTTCGAGATATAGATTTTGAAGCAATGCTTTCACATGGCTTACGTTTTGTTCTAATCAATGTAATAAATGAGTAGAAGGTTGTTCTTGTGGTTTTCGATAACACATTACAGTCGGCATCATCGCGCCACTTTGAGAAGGTGGCACGACATGAGAACCCTCTTGTCGTGGCTGCTGGAAACTACATACCCGATTCTGTAGATTGAATGGTAAACAGTCAACATCGCCCAAAGCACGTCACTACGGATCCTCCCGATCCATTAACGGTGCTTTTAGGCACCACAAGCACCGGTCACCGTCCTCGGAGAACCCGTCGCTTGCGACGAAGGGCTCGACGAGCGAATTAACCCTAGACACAGCTCACTGAGTTTCTTGCCGGATCTTCTCAGTGGGTCGCATTTCCGATCCGGTGGTAGATTCTACGAAGCTCTGCTCTTGCTAGGGTCAGTGTTAGCAACACTCCGGTTTGAGCCCCGTGAGCTCACCTACCTACGTTAGGGTGAAGCTGAAATAGCCTCTTAAGACTATCAGCATAGGTAGGAAAAAAGATAGCACGCCTTAGTGTTTTGTTCACATGTGACATTGGCTTTAACGCAGCCTGCTTGTTCTAGCAAATTTGTAGCCCCAGATTGCGACCGATCTTATTATTCTGTGTTTGAGGCAGGTTTTTATAATGAAATAGCCCACGTAAGCATCGTTTGTATTGTTTTAATTCGTTTTAAATGCTTAAATTTTTTTTGGTTTATATATTTTTTTATAATAATATAATCTTAATAATAATAGTCAAATCGAAATCATCATGGCCTAAAGGTTAAAACGTCCGGCGCATTGGTATTGAGCGATGCACCGGTGTTCGAATCCCAGGCGGGTACCAATTTTTCTAATGAAATACGTACTCAACAAATGCTCATAATTGACTTCCACGATGAAGGAATAACATCGAGTAATAAAAATCAAACCCGAGTCCGCGCGGGTAGGTACCACCACCTTGCCCATTTCTGCCGTGAAGCAGTAATGCGTTTCGGTTTGAAGGGTGGGGCAGCCGTTGTAAGTATACTTGCGACCTTAGAACTTATATCTCAAGGTGGGTGGCGCATTTACTTCGTAGATGTCTATGGGCTCCAGTAACCACTTAACACCAGATGGGCTGTGAACTCGTCCATTCTTCTAAGCAATAGAAAAAACGTGAACACATTCCTCACGTTCATAAAGCCCCAATTTAGGATTCCCTGTGTTATGAGGACCAAAGACTGATAAGCATACTTGTATGTGTTTAAATATATACATATATAGATAATAAACACCTAGACAAAGAGCAAACAAACCTGTTCATCACACGAATGCTTACCCGACGTGGGAATCGAACCCACGACCCTCGGCGCAAAAGTCAGCGGCGCTGTCTACTGCACCACCAATTGAGTCAGTGCAGTGAAGTATCAAAACTATTTATTATGTATTAATGAGCCCAGACTACGATATGAAGACTGAAGGCGCTTAAAAATTACTATGGTCATAGGGCTTTAAAAATAAGGCTACCGTAATTATTAATTCGTTACTAGGAAATTAGATTCCCATGTGATACGGCCTGCAAGAGGACGATAATCAAAGACTTAAAAGAAAACAAAATATACCTTAGTATATTTTGAAAGTTATTTAATTACTAGCGGCCCGCTCCGGC